ATAGGACGGATTTTTATGGGGGGGGGGGGGGGGGGGGGAGAGAAGGAGGCCCTATTAACATTAAGCAGGAATGCTGGGATTTTTGCCGGGTTGATTCTCTTTACAGCTTGTTGTGGGGTTGAACCTGTCAGTGGGACATGATGATTCAATGTTTTTTTTTAAAGTATCCAGAAACCATAACTTTTTAACCCTTTGGCTCGGTACTATGGATATCGCAATCCTTTGACTCCATGATAGGTACCGTAAATCTGGGAGAAATGACTTTTCTGCCTACCCCAGACAACAAGGAATTCGTCACCCGGTCCCCGCGAAGTCAGGTTTAACCAACTACGCTAGCGAGTCAGTCATGACTCACTGGTACAGCCCAGTATAAGAGTACCATTATCTGGCGCTGCATTTATAGAAACCTCCTTGGATGTCGGGGAATGCTCAATTTCTGCTCCCGTCTTCTCTTAAAGCCACAATTTCAAAAGCAAAGGATATGAAACTAAGAAATGATAGAAAAGATGGTTCAGGAAGATAAGGAGTAGCAATCCTAACTGGCATATAATATAAATTAATCAAACAAGAAGCCATAAAAAACACCAACTCTGAGGGACTCCTTGTGGAAAGAGTGTGCCGTAAAAAAAAATAACACTGATTAATATCTACTGTCCGAGGGGCATTATAAAAAAAAAAAAATCTCAAAGAACTAAAAAGGCAAAGTCGGGAGATGCAAACCAGCGTCACTGCTCACAAACCATAAGTGCTTTGCAACCAGTATATACAGCTGATAAACTGCCCACCTGTGTCGCCGTCTGCACGAAACTGTAGCTACAGCGACGTTCCTTTATTTACCCCAGAGTGTCAACTCTGGTACCCATTTCCTAGAGGCTTGTTGAACACCCAGGTTTCGAACACCGGCCGTGTGCTGCACTAGGTTGCAGCTGTATTTGAAAGTGAGTCTCCTATCAACTGCGCTAACACAGCTCCCTGAAATTAAATGTCGTAGTGAGGATATCGTCATCATGTAGCAGGTCCCTTGCAGAACATCATTCTATGCCTGCCTGCCTGAAAGAAAACTCAGGTCTCTCGCCAGCTTCACAATCATATGTACTTCCCTACTTACATCCTGTGCCTATCTTTATACCAGTTAGCCCCCCATCCTAGTGCTTTGCCATCTGTTATTTCATTCAATCCATCATGGTGCTTAACATGGCCAAAATATTTGTTTCATTTATGTTCAGGATCTATTTGGATGTGAGTACTGGCATTTAACGTATAAATGAATAGTTCCGTTTAAGAGAAACTATAGATGAGCACTCCCTTTCGTGACCAAATTAATGAGCTTTCAGAAGGTGAAGAGTTTATTCACCGCCACCTGCTTTGGTCAGTTGCTGGTTCTACCAAGGATGGATCTTACCAACAGAAATGTGGGTCGGCATGACCAGGCAACATACAGGCTCTGTCTTGTCACCTGAAACAACAATGTATTTTATTAATAAAAGGCAAACAGTGAAAATTGTTATTTAACAATTTCATTAGCTACAGCACAATCATTATATTTAATGTTCAAATATACCTATTGTTCAAATTGTGCAAGTCCAGCAATTGTTAATGAATCAGGATTAGTAATTTTTCTACCGTTTCTGATAAAATTATTTCCTAATGCAGTTATATTAGGATGACAACTACAAGAGTAATGGTTCTCAATGTATGCAGGTTGAGAGAATTAACCCAAGACACTATAAATATATTTCAAACGAATCCCAGCCACATCACAATATGCTCTCTCTCAACTTTCAATCAGATCTTAAAGAAAAATGGCCTACCAGTGACCAAACCAACAGTGTATTTGGGTCAGAATTAAGGTTTGGCATTTCCAAGTGCATTTAAAAATAACCATTTTATGAAAATCAAGCAGAAAAACAATCTAATAAAAATCAAAACTTCATAGTAATTTAATACCTGGTAAATGAAGTAGAATTCAAAAGGGAAAAGAAGTAAGACGTGAATAAATAAAATATAGCAAAACTAAATGTTCTTTAAGAGGTTAAAAAAAAAACGCACTAGACATTGAAAGATACACTAGAGAATGGGTGTGGCTTTCTTTGATAGATACTACCAGAGAGGGCATCAGTCAAAGAATGATATTGTGAATAAAATAAATATGAGAGCTTATTAGATTATCAACTTTTGGATATAATAGATCGTAAAAATATTTGGAAACCACTGCATAAACAGTGTAACACAATTACCTAAACTATCAGTTAGGTTAACATTTCCCCTTAAAAACAAGTTATTTAACTGTACCAAAAATAATGACTTTAATGACTACTAATTTTATTTTTCAATAATAATGAGACATTTTCACAAGCTAACTAAAGAAATTTTTTTAAGTAAATGAAAAGGCATTTTGACTATATTTAGATCAACAAAATTAAACTATTTACTCTGCATTACAAATATATTATTATTAAACTAGTTTCTACTAATTTATATGGTTAGTGAAGCTACCGAGACATTATTGACATTAAATGGTCGACGATTATTGATCTACTTAAAATTAATCTTCAAAATGCCTTTTCTGATTTATTATCTGTAATTTTATATTTGGTTTACCTGAGACTGAGGTTTTCACCCTCCCTTGTAATTTTAAGGGCTGTTATGTCACCCATTAAAGTTTAAAAGCTGTACAAGGCTGCCTGTTTTTATTTCTGCCTTAATTCTGCACATCTTGGGGGTTGACCTGCTCATTTCAAGTTACTGGAAGTAGGCTTTTGCTTTATTAAGCACAAATTTTATTAACAAAATAAATTTGAGTATTATATATAACTAACATGAACACAAGTGTCTGTTGAACCAGGCGACTTCCTGTCATGTTGAATCACTGGCTCATCTTTGTATGTTCAGCCATTCAAGACTTTGAACTTCACATGTTGCCATAAATGTGTGATGGCTTTAAAAACATTTTCATGCCAAAAATAATTATGAAACTTTTCAATGGACATAAAAACTGCTGCTTGTATTCTGTTAAGTTACTGTATGCAGTGTGGTCAAATTAATTCTGAATATTCTATTTACTTATAACCATGAATTTGTAATTTCCTGTTAATGCCAATATTTATCACTGATTGAATCGCCTCCTGAGTTCCTATGTTTACAGCAAAATTAGCAATAAATCTCAAGTTGAAAATGCTTGTACAGCAGTACATGTTTTTCATCAATAAATGCAGTTCATTTTCCTTTCAGATTGTTACGTGTGAAATATACTGCAAGTTGTGTTGTATTTTTCAACTTCACGCTTTTGCTCATTTGTAGAACCTCGGGTTTATGGTTGCTTTTACTTTTCATGCAAAATCTAAAACGTATTTGGCGAACATAAAATTGTGCCTAATTTTTCTGCAGAAAGAAATATAATCTGATTCACAGGTTCTAATATGCTCAATTCATAGGCTGGTTAATTCAAGTACAACAGTATAGTGCAGCCTTAACTGTCAAGACGTGAGATAAGAACCATGTTCAATTGCTTCAAGACATTTTACAATCTATTTGTAAATTCTTGTTGCTGCCATTATTTATCAGTAAGTGCATTCTCCTCCTGCGTTGATATGTTTTCAGCATGTGCACAAATTAGTCATGAATCTCAAGTTGCTAATACATGTATAGCATTGCATGTTTTTTTTTAAAATCAATTAATGCAGTTTACCATCTCTTTATGGATCATTCACTTTCCGACTAATGTGAAACATTAGCTGTTTTTGCTAGGCATGAATTTATTGTGAGCTGTATTTTTTTTTTTAAGTTCATATATCTGGTGAATATAAGATATTGCCTAATCTTACATATGTCTGCAAAAATGTAGTCTTATTCACTGGTTTTAATATTCTCAATTCACAGGCTGTTTATAATTCAAGTGCCACAGTACAGATGTAACTGTAAAGACGTGAGAGAAGAACCATGTACAAACTGCTTTACTTAATTTAAGACATTTCGAAAGTTTGAGACGATAAATGTATTCTGAAAGCTAGCAAATCAAATTTACAAAATTTTGGAAAGAAACAATGAGACCTATCAAATGCACAAATGGGAGAGGTGGAATCTCACATCTACTACAAATAAAATTGATAAGAGTCAGAAGAATCAACTTTCTCAGAGAGTAAATGTTCCCAATGAAAAGACTTAAGTGTTATAGACTATGAGACAAAATCTAAAACCAGATTAAAGAACAGAAAAATTTGAAGGTAGTGCAACAGAATCAGGAAAAAAACTATGGCCAACAAAGAAAATCTAATGCCACATTATGAAGACGGACAACACAAAAAGTCACCAAGCCTAAACCAACCAACAGCCTCCAACAGAGATGCAAGCATTTTAAATTCCGAAACCTGTTTGCAAGTTTTTGTGACAATAGCAAGTTTTTTTTATTTAAATCAGCCATTGCCATTAAACATAAATACATATTCCGATTGCTCAAGGCATGTTTATAAAGTATTAAAAAAACCACAGAATGCTAGTTATGAAAATGTTTAATGAACTTTTATTAGGAATATTAAGACAACTTTTAATGACTTCCATTAGGAATATTAAGAACACTAAAATTTTATTACAATCATGTTACAACAATGAGTTTTCTTTCTTGCTACATCAACAACTATTGAACACCTATTTGCAATTTGTACAGTTGAAAATCAGTTTATTTAAACAAAAATTTAAACCCAACTTTATGAGGTGGTTATTTTGGTGCAATTTAAAAACTATGAAAACTAAATACATTATTTAACAGTTTTTCCTATTCATTGACGTCGAGTGCTAAGTGTTCATAATCCTAAGTTTGTGACTAAAAACAGCTAGATTGATTTTATCCTAACAAAATTCCCACCCCATTCCCAATTATACCTGCCAGCCAACATTCTACAGCAAGCGTGCACAACACCATCCAGTCTCAACACAACTACAGTGTACGACGATGACTTCTATCAGTCACAATATCATGAAAAAATGACAGGAGGCCGTTCTTTTCAGTAGTTGCCCGATGCTGTACGTGAGTAAGGGTGCGATCTAGCCTGACCTCTGGAGGAACCCCTCGATGGGGCAGCAGCTGTTTTCCCACCACTTGACCAGCCATCACCTGAAATGTAAAGCATCGATGGTAATGCTTGTATAGTGTTTAATATCAAAAATAAAGTTATCTGAAAGCAATTTTCTGTTTTCTACTCTACTTTCAACGACTCCAGCGACTTATGCATGCTGTAAGTTGGCCTTTAAAGGCTGCACACCTTTGCCCAAACGCTGCATACTAAAAACTGTTTCGACCAAATTTACAGGTGTATAGAATGGATAAACCATCCAAACACCAGTCTACAGATACACATTTTTCGGTTTCTTACAAGTATGCAATTTACCACACACACACAAAAACGACTTACCATAGTCATAACCTGAATACGATTCATAGCCTGCAGCAGAGCCTGAGTTAGGAGCACCATAGTCATAATATGCTTCTTGTCTGTGAGGATAAAGTAAAAAAAAAAAAAATTAAAACCAACAAAGATTCACAAGAACGGTATATACTACTCATTCACCAACTGTAAATTCCAACACAAAAAAAAGTTATGGTCATTTGCCAAATTCTAGACTTCAGTCCTATCCTGGAACTTGAGTTCTGACTGCACATTCATTTTACAGGTCTGGATTATTTGTACGCATACTGTGGGTTTGAAGGAAGCCCCTAGACTCCAGGGTCTATTACCACAACAGTACCCCAGAACCGACAATTGGAAAAGTATGTCCAACATTCCTAAACACAGGTTCATGATTCTCCTTTAAAATATTTGTTATTACTGGTGACTGTGCATTTGTTCGAACAAGCAGCACACACACAAAGCAAACGACTAATCCTTTATTCGGTTTCACTACGTTTTATGATATGGTTTTGACATATGATGAAAACCCTTGATGCTAAGCAAAAAAAATTAAACATGAGATATTGAAGTAAATTACTGTTCTCTTTACTGTAGTTCTAATTAACGGTGAATGCAACAAATTCTAACATTACCCAAATGTTAAATAAACATTAACCAAATGTTAAATAAACATTACCCAAATGTTAAATAAACATTACCCAAATGTTAAATAAACATTACCCAAATGTTAAATAAACATTACCCAAATGTTAAATAAATGTATATGTACTCACCCATAGCCTTCATCATATGATGATTCATAACCAGATCCGTAGCCCTACAAAGAAATAAAGTGAAAATAAGTCAAGGACGCTTCTTTACATCAGTGGTACATAGGACTGTGCTCATATTTTTTTATATAGACTACGTAGACATTTAATGTGCGACGTGGTCAACATCACCAGGGCCATTTTACCTAATTTTTATGGGGTGGGATTAGAGCAGAGGTCAATTTTGAGGGAAAAAACCCGGCCTGGATTTCAACCTAAACCCTTTTACTACAACAGATTAAAATTTCACTTTCTCAATCCAATACATTAAAAAAAAAATTAACATGCAATGACTATCCACTGAATTTTAAAATTCTGTGTATTTACTGTGATGAATGAAAATGAATTAATCATCCATTCTAGTCTGTCTCGACTAAGCTATCGGAGTCGGCTGCGTTTGGGTCATTAGTGTACGCATCTAGCCAGCAACAAAGATCTACACCAGTGACCAGTGTATCCAAGAATCACCAGAGGAAGGAACAACGCCCTAGGTAATTATAATCTACATTATAAACTTTTTAAAACCGAAACCTAGGGCGTGCGTTTAACCTCTAAATAAATTCAAGAACTTTTACAATTACCGTTGAAAATGGAAACTATGCCCATAACAACTGAAACACCAGGATTACCAGCACAGAGGGCCGCTCCCCCGGGAGCCGACCTTTCAGGGGCGCCCGATGCCACCTCGATAGCGACGCAAAGACCCCCTCGACTACGAAAGCAGCGGCAGCCTGAGGCCAGCACACCAGACATCATGCAGTGCTCACGATGCAATAGGACGTGGCATACAGCCTCGTCCTGCCGCACCAGCCTATCGTGCAGATACTGTTCTGGTGCGCACAAATTCAAGGAGTGCCCGCTGGCTAAAATTGACACTAATTTAAAAAAACCGAACAGCAACCGGAAGTGCTCTAACTGTTCCGGCACGCACGGCGCCAGATACATGGGCTGCCCGTATCTCCAGCAGTGCAAGAGGACACTAAGAACCGCCCACAAAGCAGCTAGACAGAGATACGTGGCACCCAGGTCCTCAGCAGCACCAAAGCAACCAAGTGGGAAGCCAGCACAACGGACATCAGACAGACAAACCGACAAGGCGATCACAGCCGCAAAGGACCCTGAAATTACGCTACAAAATTCTGAAATTTTAGCTGAAATCAGAGCTCTCTGCAAAGAAAAGTCTGACGCTACCAACACTGATGCTGACGGAACGCAGTTGCTAGACAAGATTTCGCAAATGCGCGACGAAATCAAAGCCTTGAAAGACGACAGACAAGAACAAGTCTCGCAGCAAACTAAATGGCTAGCAGAGGCTGCACAAATGCAGAAAAACCTGACAGAAATGACCCTAAAATTGCAAGCAGAAAAAGCTGCAGACAAGAAGAAAGGGAGGAGAGAAAAAAGGAAACCGAAGCACTCAAGGAAGCCCGAGAAAGCACTCATAAAGAAGTCACCCTCATGATCTAAGCAAAGGCAGAAGCCGAAGCTGCAGTGCTGGCGGCAAGAACGGAGCGTGCCCTGCTAGAGAAAGAGAGGAACCCAAGGAAAGCTGTAAAGCAACCAATTATCAACAAAGCCGACAAAAGCACGGTTACCGAAATGGCAATGACGCAGCACCAAGAACAGATGACAGACCCTACTAGAAACGAAGTTCCCAACAACGAAACACCCATCAGGCAGCCAGCCACCCCACGCGTGAGCCATAAAGCAAGGCTTGAAGATTACAACAAGCAAGTGGCTCCGCACACGCTGGGCTATTTCGACGAATGCAAGAGCTACGTTGTCGGCTTCTCAACTGAGGAAGACGGAGATGAAGGCGAAACACCCGAACTGCGTGAAAAGAGCGAGAGAGCTGGCCGATTATGCGACGAGCTAAACACAGCCCTAAACCAGCTCCGAGCGTCAAAGAAAAACGGGAAAAATGGCACACCGAATAGAAGAGGCTACCGCCAATTCTAAATACCACTGGAGGAGCCCACCAACTCTACGGACAGCCCGAAACAAACAACTGCCAACCGGACAGACAGTGGCCGTACAGGAGCCACACCCACCCGCTCCGCCCCCCTGGCAAATAACCACGCAATTACCATAGAGCTAACCAAAAATCTTAACCTAGTTTATTTTCAGGAAAAAGAAGACCACGGAAATTACCACAGGCCACCCGACGCTCCAAAGCAGATAGCCGAGGGCATTGCACCTAAGGGGACCAGCACTTTGGAATTCCAGTTACCGTCATGCCACCCCACCCCACGTGTATGTTAACAAATGCCTTTCACTTTTATTTCAGACCAAGTGGATCCTACCTCTATCTGTCACTCTCATTCTCCCGACCTAACTATCACATCTCCTGGCACATTCGTGCAAACTGAATTCTCATTTGCAGTCTATCCTACCTCCACTACTTCTCCACACTCCGTGGAGAAAAAAAAAAAAGGGCTGATCAGATTGTGACGGCCCTGGTTGTCCTGAAAGGGAACATTGTTTATGACGGCGCAACTGATGTTTGGCTTTTTCTGGCGGCTTACAGTTCGGCAACCAAGCAGCAACAGGGCACCAGCACGAGGCAAGCCAAGCGCCAGCAACAGTCAGCTAGTACTTATCGATATCATCGCAAAGATCTGGACCACACCAGAACCAAAAACCACAATCACCGCAGCAAACAACCGTAATATCAGGTGTGACTACACACCACAAATAAAAGGAAACCATATAAGACCGCTAAGAAACCTTCTTCGATATAGCAGGCCTCCGGGCGGCTGAAAGAGGATCATGATTTGAAATTTTTGTGGGACGAATTGGAATTGGATCCATTCTAATTTTTGTCAGTGAATTACCACAGCATTGGCAAAGGAGGGTGTTACAGTTCATCGGCTGTAAACTCCGGCAGAATGTTCTGGTCGTTCGCCCACCTCTGGACTTTAGCCTTGTTCCAGAACACAAGTGTTGCATGCACATCTGACATGTGCATGCAGATTGCTGGTTTCTTGCCTCAGGCAGATGCACTCCTACTTCGAAGGAAGCTCCTAGTTAGTCGACTCTTACAACATGCTTGTTTGGAAAGGCAGTGGGTCTATTCTTGTTTTCCTCATCATGGGGCCCCGAAACCCACACTGGGAAAGCAAAGATATTTAATTTTGATAGTAATATGTGTTTTTATTACAACACAAAATTCATCATCTTGTAACAAAAAATGTATATATCTAGCCAAAAAAATTTATTTTGCAAGTCTATGTGAATATTTACAATACTATCTGCTGAAAAATAAAATGATGCAATACACAAAAACAATATTGACGGGAATAAACAGTGTAGAATATCTAAGAAACCAGAGTACTGAGTAAAATGATTAGGTGAAGAAACCTGGTGGGGTGAAATTATAAACACATTTAGGTAGCAATATTGACAAAGATGGGGAAGGGGGTCTAATAGTTTCAACATATAATTATTGAAAACCACCAAGCCATATTTATTAATCCTAACCAACTTGCCTGAGAACTGTAGCCTTCATAAGAAGCTGGTGGAGGAGCGGCCCTAGCTCCTCGAGCTGAGGGTGCGCCACGTCCAGCAGGACCTCCTCGGGGTGCTCCTCTTGGACTTCTAGTCGGTGGGGCACCTCTGTGGAGTAAAAAGAGAAATGTTTTCGTCTTATCAATAGTTACAGACACAGCAGGTCTTCATAAGTGCACAATTCTATCATTAAAATAGTCTGTGAAACATTTTTTCAATGACAATTCAAGTCTTCTTCCAAATCAGAGTGCATATGCCTGAGGGGCGAGGAACCAACAACCTGTTTACAAAAAAAAAAAAGCCAGATCTGTAAAATGGATGTGCAGGGAACCTGGATTTTAGAAGCTAGTGAAGAAGAGTGGCAACTTAGTCGTGAGTAAAGGTAACAGTGAAAGGGTCGTTTTACTGCACTGGGTTTTATTCCATCCCACTCTCCTCAGAACAGCAAGCGACGATCCCAGGGATCGATAAAAAATACACTTATGGACTGAACTATCTTCAGAGCCGAGGCAAATGGCTTGGCCACTCCGCTATGGAGTTTTGGGTAAGTTATTCATCAAAATGTTCACTCTTTCTTGTTTAATCTCTCTTTTGAATACCGTTAAGAAATATGTGAACAAGACACATTAAGACAAAATCAAATCAAACAAGAAGCAGAAATAGCCAGTCTGGATCAGACCAACAGAGTTGGGGGAACACCATCTGACAGCAATTGTTTACCCAGTGGCAGTGTTAAGGTGCTGATGACATTTTTACTCATAACATAGATAACCTATAGATTATTATCCATTCTACCCAACAAATTTACCAGTGGTTCCCTGAGATATAAAAACTTGTCAGTAACAATATTTCTGTTGAATGGATATTCACATAATTTTTCCATACACTATTTAAAACCTAGAATAGCCACTAACCTTCCACCAGGAGGAGGTGCAGGTACAGGTCCATTTCCGCGTCCTCTGAAGCCACCGCGACCACTGAAGGAAAACACAAAACAATTGCAGCTTATTCCAATAATAAAATCCTAAATACAACTATTCAAGTTCTAAACAAAAAGCCTAACCTATGTTACATTGGCAGCAATGTAGTGTCTGTGGTGTGCCTGCTAGATGCTCACATGCAGATCAAATGTGGGTTTGGATCCTAATGAGCCGGGATGACACTGGCTCTCACGTAGTCCGGGGAAGTAAAGGCAACTAGCATGATGCTGGCGACAACATGCACAGTGCCAATATAGGTCTAGCCTTATATACCCAATATGCCTAAAGGTGTGGAAAGGGGTCCTTTAAAATGTTACATAATTTCAAATTGACTTTAAAAACAAACACTAAAAAAAAAGTAGAAGAAAACCAATACCCTCTGTCTGGAGGTCCACCTCTGTAACCGCCTCTTCCTCTAACCGGAGGACCATCCATTCCCATTTCTGCGCCACCAGGACCGCCATATGCGTCTTCCGTCAATTCCTGATAAGATATACCACACAAGAAGAAATAAGCATCACCTTAAATCTAATATTTGTTGTATTAAAGTACAATTATGAAATGGAATCAATAAACTGTGAGTACAATGTGATGTATGACTTAATAAGCCACCCTCAAAGTGTAGCAGAATGTCTCAGATATAGAAATGTGCAAATTCAATTATTTTTTTCCTGTGTTTCTTTAATGTGTTTTCCCAGCTATTTAAAAAAAAAGGAATTAATGCATTTTTAATCATGCAAACAAGCTTCCCATCTAAACTTTCTTTATTCGTTTAATATTCTAGACATAAATGCACTGACACTGTCGTAACCAACTAAAGACAAACTGTGCTCAACTAGAATCAAACCCAACACCTCGGCATTACAAAGTGCATTTGCAACGCCTAACACACAGATGCCGATTATTATATATTTATAACTCATAAACCCATTAATAAAGAAAATAATTCTGAATGCTGTCTAATCATACTTAAAAAAACAAAATGCACGCTTACAGGGATGACAAATTTCTTGAGTTCGGTCAAGGCTGCTGCAAGTCTGTAATAACCATCCGTCAGTTCTGTATAGCACTCTACCAACACATGGAGCTCCTCGCTGAGATGAGCGTATTTGCCTCCTTCTTTCCTCAGTTCTTCCTCCTAAATACAGAGAAAATAAAAAGGCACATGACTTGATGAAACCCTGAACAGTAACAGCTCATTTAGAACCAAGCTACTACCTCTCCTACCATTTATCTCCGTAAAAGAGTGAAACCCTCACACTAAGTCGTCCAATCCTTTGATACTGCATACAGTTTACCCCTGCCCTTTATCTTTACTGGTGGGGTATTAAATTCAGGGTACGCAGCTAAATTCCCCAACTTGTTTCAGTTTTTTTCTTGAAGACGAATCAGGTATATGGGGTACTTTATTCATGCTCACACATATATAGAATGTCATAGCTTTTTCTAGGCGTAGTGGCAGAGGGAAGCCAAATAACCAGATCATTAATTATTATTATTATCGAACACCGGCTATGAATTCCAGTGGAAGGTCCCGGTTAATCGTCCGCTTGGACTTTTGGCTTTCACCTGGACCTGATTTTTGCGTGTACAACCGTTTTTCATTTCCTTGCCTCTTGGGCAGCTGTACGCCGACTTCGAAGGAAAGATCATTAATAATAACAAAACTAAATGCTTGGTAGCCTCCACGCCCAAAAAAATCTTATATACATGGAAAACGCAAAACAAACCAGTGGTTAATAAACTATATGTAGGCAACACTCTGACATCTATACAGCTATTACAAATGTTGAGAATATGGTGCATATAGAAGAAACACACCAAAATATTAAGAGCTGTAGTTACCAAAACCACAAGCAAAAAAACTAATTTATGGAATAGTAAAGTAACCACACACATGAAGGCAACACAGCAGAAAACAATAGATAAGAGAAAGGAAGACAAAGATGTATGTAGAAAGCTTTTCAACAGGTGAGTATCAGCATAATTTAATCAGCATCATCAAAACAGATGAAAGAGGGAAATGATAGAATCATAAAAGTGCTTGCTGCTCTAGACCAGATACTTGAGAGAGAGAGAGAAAGAGGGAGAGAGTGAGAGAGACCACGGAAAGAAAGTGATGGACAGAAAAAGGAGGAGACAGAGAGAGATAGACAAGGAAAGGGATGAAAGATGGCAGAGAAACATAGTGTGAGGTTGGAAGTTAACCGGTGGTACAGAGATGGAGGTGGAGAGAAACAGGCAGTAGTATAGGGGGTGGGATAGAGAATGTGGGGGTGGGGGGGGGGGGGGGGAGAAATGGAAAATATACGAGAAATGGGAGAGGGGGACGGGGGTAGAAGAAAGAGGGAAGGTGATAGAGAAGCAAGACAGAAATACTAAAAGGTAGTGAGAGGCACATAGACAGATGCAGAAGTAGGGAGAGAGACAGACAAAGGAAGAGACAGTGAGATACAGGCAAACAGAGACACATTGATATAGAAACTCCAGAAATTCATAAGAACTTAGATGCTAATTCTGTACTACATGTTGTACTACATGAGACCCACTATTCCACTACTGTGTGGGTTTTGGGGGCAAGAGGACACTCACTGCCCCCTAACAAGCATGTGATTATCGGCGACCAATTAGGAGTTTTCTTTGAAAAACAGGGACCAATAATCTGCACGCGTATAAGCGAGACCTGTAAAATAAAAGTGTGCGCAACAAAACTTCTGAAACAAAACCAAAGCCAATGAGTCAACAAAAAACCAGACTTTGCACTGGAATTTACAGCTAGCAAATGTTGAAAGTGGGATCATGATGAAACATTTAAAAAAAACTACTAACATTCATAAATATTTAACAATTGTGCATTCACTGAACAATTACTCTAAATGTAGAGTAACAAAAATGCTTGTGTCTCACCTTCTCTTTATCTCTCATTGATCCTCTGCCCATGATGGCCATTTTACAGCCAGTTTGATCTTGAAGTGCTCTGAGAGTCTGTCCTTTTGGTCCAAGCAATTTGCCAACGAAATTATACTAATTGGAAGAAAAAAAACATAGCATTACCAACGGATGAAAGTAGATAGATTTTTTTAACTGTTTAAACATTTAAAGTCTGTAAAACGAGTACAGTAGATTTTACTTGTGATTAAGCAAAGTTTTTTTCCAAAAAATAAAAAAAACTACACATGAAAGTTTTCTTTCTCTAGTGGTTAGCAACACCGTCACACTTTTGTTTTTTACTGCTACTGTAATAGACACTATGTCAGGGTTCGTAGCCAAATTTAAGAGATAGATAGATAAAAGAGAGAGACATACAGAGACGGAGGAAGACAGATGCTGAGGTAGTGTGGGAGAGACAGAGAGGAAGACAGTGGGAAAAGAGAGAAAGACTGGTGGAAATGGACATATGAAGAGGAGAAAGATGGGATACAGAGACAAGAGGTAAAAAGATGACAGAGGAAGGGACATGCAGAGAAAGAAACAAGCAGAGAAATGTAAACACAAATGAGGGAGAGACAAGGGGAAATCTGTAGAGGCAAACAACAGAGGGAGAGAGAGAGAGAGAGAGAGAGAGAGAGAGAGAGAGAGAGAGAGAGAGAGAAGGCAGAGCAAAAGAGGGGATGAAAGGAAATAAACATCACAAGAAAAAAAAACAACTTGTGTACTGGACACAGCTACAAGATAGAGAGGTCAAACTTCATGTGGTTGTACAAAACAGTATGCTGTGTATCAAAGAAAAGAAAAAACAAATGTAGCATTTCCATAAAGAATAGGAATGAGCAGGGCCGCCTCATTTTTAAAGTCAGGCAAAATACTTCTGCAAAAATGTAGTGTTCTGAAACCACAACATAGAAAAAAAGTCATAGGCAAGCAAGAAAGATGTAAATGATATAAGTGGAATTAAATCAGATGTAGATGCTGATATGGATAAACAGCTGTCAGTAAAAGTGTACAACAGGATGGGAGATAAGTGCTGGAAGATTTGCAACTAGCATTCACTGTAGAGCACCTGACTGACTGAATCAAGAGCTTTACTGTTTTCTTCTGAAAGTCCAAGCCATGTGGTGCTAGTAAGTACACAGGCTCACAGCCTGGTCGTATGAACAAAAAGTTTCTGTTATGATTGATTTTACAAAAACTCTTTGGACATACCTTCATATGTGAGACCTCTGCTCTTAATAATATATACCAACAGTGCTGCCATTATTTTCTTAACATTATAAATAAATTGTTCATGTGTCTTTTTATTGTCATTTTTCTTCAAATCATTTTTTTTGTTCTGCATGTTTGTACTGTGTCTACAATCTAGCAGCAAATTTCAGCGCCTTACACTGAACACATTCAATTTCTGCAGACATTTGTTTTGTCAAGTTAACATTTGCACTTAGACTGCTTGTGTCCTTTTAGGCTTTTACCAAGCAAGTGAGTCCAGAACATTTGCATCTATGCTTGTTAGCCATCAAGGGATGGAGGAGACAAAATGTGTGCATTCCGCACCATCCAAGGAGACTTCCATAAATATAGACATAATGCCACTTTTTTATTACAGAAAACAAGCAATCGACCAGGGGTAGTTTTAAAAAAATATATATAGGCAGCACATGAATTGTGAAGATTTAAAAAAAAAAAAATGGAGTGAAATGCTGGCTTACTCTAGGATATTCTTTGGTAGGAATTCTGATTTTCACAGACAATTTCTGGGGTCGATCATGGTGAATGTCATACATGGAAACTGGTGGGCGGTCTTTCTTGTCATCTTCACCTTTAGTCAGTCGATCAATTTCTGAAGAGAAACAGAAATAAAAATACTTAAAATAAATGTGAACCCCACAACGACAACAGATAAAATTCTGAAGACCTGACAGAACACTGAATGACACAAGTTATAAGACAATAATGCTGTCTTATTAATGAACTTTTTATTGACAATACCAGCAACAACCTCAGAGTTAATACCTGGATGTATTAGCCATACGGATAGGGTGTGACATTCTGTGATTCTGGTGATTGTAAAATGCAGCCGCCTTAGCTTACTGGCACAGCACATGACACGTAGGACTTGCAGTCTGTTCCTGTACCCTGCTCTATCCCGAATAATCTTTTCAATATGGATGACAATTGGTCTATGACCTTTGCCTTCTCTCTCATTAACGTCGTCTTAGGTTTTCCCTCAGACATCATTCCTCAATCCATTTGCTTCTTATTGCATGCTTGTCTATCTGTTCATTGCTCCTCTGGATGTTTTATTATTTTTAATATAAATAGTTATGAAAAATGAAATTATTTTTTTTTTACAAATGTATTATCCCCAACTTAAAAAATAAACAAAACTGCAAAATGAGCTAACAATAAGTAAAAATAAAAGCATGTAAGTGTGACAAGCTGGTGTAGCTCTGAAAAAAAAAAAACAACACCAGTGGGCAACTAATGGAAAGATGACAGAAAAATAACTAAATAAAATGTAGGATGCAGAGGTGCTAAACCACACATGTGTACCGGCACCAGAGATAATAGTGGTTAAGGGCTATCTATGCCTCTTCATGTCCATCCTAAAAAAACATGTATGCCCCTTCTGACGGCCTGGCCAACATTTTCTTTGATGTGTGAATGCATCTGTTTGGGAGGTCAGAAACCAACAGCCTGCAAACAAATTAGCCAGGCCTGAAAACGGATATGCAGAAAAATCTCTCCAGCCCCGGTACAAGGGCCAAGACCAGAAGTGGACGAACAACCAGCACTTTCTGGAGTGTATAATTTTTTAACGCAAAAAGGCAGAAAAGGAAAGATGTGCAGATAAGAAGCTCATGTTTCAACCAGTCTTCCCCAGCCAAAAATATGATAATAATACAATTACACAATTCCATAGAGAAGTAATTTAACAACAGAAAAAGAATCCACTTTCAAAACAAATTACTGTGACTTTGCTGATATACATGGTAATTTCTGATGGAAGTTGAAATGTCGTGACTGTCCAAAACAATTTATTGCCCAGCTGTTCTAAGCTGTCCAAATCTTCCTGTGTTCATTATTCTCTTTAAACCTTAGCCTTACAGTTTGATGAGTGATCTGCCTTTCTGGGACAAAAGGATTAATGTAAAATTCACTAACACTTTTTAAGGTATTGCCTTGTTTAAGGCATATGTGAGACTATTTGTTCGTTGAGATGCGGATATACATGCACAGATAGTGTTTACCGGGTGGCACAGAGAAACTTGACTAATGGGATTATCATTATTATCAAATAAACTAAAAAAAATGCTTAGCAGTTTCCAAAAAAAATAACATTAATTTGTTTTATATAGAGCAAAGGCAAAAACAAATTAGTGGGTCACACAATATGCAGGCTACACTCTTAATATCTAGAGGGACAAGAGCTAACACAAATGATGGAAATATGTTTTGCATAAATGACACATGCAAAAAAAATTGAGAGCTGTAGTTAGCAAAATCACAAAAAAGATGATGTAATTTACACACCGTAAAACAACCAAGTGCACACAAACTATACTAAAAGGAAACAAGCGAGACAGGAAAAGACTTCTCTAGACTGGATACTTGAGAGAAAGAAAGTGTACAAGAAGTTAGTGGCAATTGAATAGTGAAATACAGGGAAAAAAGAAACAAGAGAGAGATGCAAAATGACAGAGAGAAATGGAGAGGGGGAGGCAGAAGGAGGAGTTAATTGCAAACTCAGATAGATACAAATGGAGGGGGATAGGCAGACAGAGAGATACAATACAAAGGGAGGGAGGGGGCAGACAAGTCAGAGATAGTTGAGAAAGGAAGAGTCAGACAGGAAAATATAGAAAGAAATACTGAGAGAGAGAGGGAGGCAAACAGACACAGAAAGATGGAAAGAAAGGTGTTAAAAGGCAATGACAAAGAGACAGAAAGATAGAGGGAGACGGGTAGAGATGAGACATAGTAAATTTAGGTACTTCAGTTAAATGTTCAAAATGCCCTCTACACCAATAAAACCAGCACAGTTAGATAGCTGTAAACAATCTCTTTCTAATGGTACCTCATTTAGGCTTGTATGTCATTTCTGAGCTGAGATATGTAGGTTTTTGTGGAGATGAGATGTAGAAAGCAGCCGCTAAAACTTGTGACCCAGAAACAAGAAGTTTTCTCTGCGCAACCTACTGCGCACTTATCGTTTTGGCTTTGTTTTCATTGGACTGTCATTGGACAAGATGGCAGACAATGAGACACAGCCACTGGCTGAGCCAGCGATTGTCTGAAAAATGACACTGTACATCTACCTAGCCACTGACAAGAAAGAAATTTTATATACAAATGTAAAATTGGACGGAGAATTCAATTATAACTAGCATTACCATGTCTAGTAACAGTTAAAGCCTAAAGCCAACCCTGAATACTTATCGCTATTTTCAATCAAACTGATGTAACAGAAAAACAGAGGACGTCCGGCTGTCGTAGACATGCGCTGTTAATCGAGTTCCTTCCCGCCGTTTTTTAGCTATTTAGAGTGGGTGAAAATCACACCAATCGCAACATTTCATGAGAGATTAGGACCCATCCCGAAACCCCAGCCGACATTTGCGAAACAAGTTTCGAACGGTTTCCGGGTAACGGAAATTGCCGAAAAGATAGCAAATTTCCGAAACTGTAGTCGCTAGTAAATTACTGTTTTGAAAAGTTATTGTCAATTGTCTAGTTAAGTTTAGTTTTATGTGAAGTTGCAGTTAGTACTAAGTACCCTGTTTTTATTTCCAACACTCGTTGTATAGTATTCTCCTATCCTTTTCCATACCTTGAACATCACTGAAATTAGGGGATTCAATGTAAGACAACACAAAGATACAATAAAAAAGAAGAAACAATATCAATAAATGAAAATGTCAAAACTGCTGCTATTGGATGAGGGAAAAGTTAAAGAGCTGATCGTTTGAGAAGAACATACAAATAATGTGCATTAGAGTTAGTGACTATGGTCTTGAAATTCCATGCTCTAAATGACCAAATGCGAAGACCTCTTAACGCAAAGAAGCCTTGCTAGTCACACTTGTCTTCGTTTTAACGCCATCAATCATCAATGCACACCACTGGCTTGCTACCCATCGAATCAGCGTGGAAAGACCGCGGCGCCAAAAAAAAATGTTACAATACAATCATTCATTTGAGGGCTGTTATAATAATAATACAGTATACAGATGCCAAAATATAATCATAATCGAAAAGCACGTTATTTAATTAATTATCTACCATATTTCTGTAAACACATATATCGTTGCATGAGCATGCTGAGCACAATTTTCATTAAAATTTAAATGCCACACCACGACCATATACAAATCATGCCATCACGGTTCATCATCACCACCCCTGCATCAGCACGCGCCACTTCGAAACTGATTCTTATAATGTTCATACCAAACTACATCTCTAAATATATGTTAAGTAAATAATATATTACCCTGTGCAAGTAATCTACTAGCGTGCGCGTTTGGATCAGTGTGTTTGAACTCATTTTCCAGCTCTTCACTGTATGTGCCTTTCTGCGCCATGTTCTCACTTTTCATGATGTCTGCTCTTTGTCGCTTCCCCACTCTCAGTTGAATTATGGGAATTTGCCAGGTTTTCCTGCCATTTCCTCAGTCTCCATTTGTCAAAATTTATGTTTGTTTTAATATATAGTTGTATACAGTAAACAATTTTTCGGTAATTTTGTATGTTATGAGTTCACGTAACAATTTCCTAATGCTAACTTATATTTGCTTTAAGTGATGTTATGCTTACAAAATCTGGATTTTTAGTATAAAGTATCATTGTTTTTTTTGTGGCTCCTTTGATACATTATTATTATTATAATTAGGCTGAAATATATTATACTTAAAATTTATTAAAGAAGTCAAAGTAAGCTAATTGTAAATCAATTAAAATAAAAACATTATTTACCAATTAATAACAATTATTATTTAATAAAAAATATTATTTGCAAGCATTCTTGTAATTTTGTATATCAAAATTTAAAAAACACAATTTCCAAGCCGGCGTACTGGCCGTGATCGTATAGTGGTTAGTACTTCGCGTTGTGGCCGCGACAACCCAGGTTCGAATCCTGGTCACGGCAGAGGCTGTGGTGTCTCGCACGTCCAAGTCGGCTGTTTTTTTTTCTTCCATGTTTTAAATAATGTTTTTTGAAAGAAATCAGCGTCGGAGGATGTAGTAATATCTGCATATGCTATATACTGCTGATATTACTAAATCCTCCAACACTGATTTTCTTCAAGAGTTTTAGAAACATATTATTATCAAATGCAGACAAACAAACAACCCTGCATCGTTTAGTGGATGCAGTAGTAGTTGACAGTTAATTTTTTTATAATAATTTAAAAATTACAAAACTGAAGGGAATCAACGTGGGATGATGTAATATCAATAAAATATAAGATTCACAGATGATACGTTGTCAAATGCAGGCAGTAAAACAAATCTGTTGTAACATTTCACTGTGAAAAACTACTCTTAGAGTTTAATTGTAAGATCACCAAGAAACAAGAAATACCGAAATGTAAATAACATTCACGTAAATTGCAACAGTCCTAAGCATATCAATAGATAAAATTATCTTGGAAAAGTCATAACATCTGATGCAAGATGCTTTTCAGAAATTAGAAAAATAATCGCACGGCAAAAGATTCTCAAGAATTAGAAGATGCAAATCATGAACATAAAATTGGGTGAACTCAAAACCTGGGGTAGGAGCCTGTCCTACTACTAGGCGCGTCCACCAGGTGGCGGATGGTGGAAAGGCCTCTAGATATAGAGGTTAGCCACGAATATATTGAATAAGTGGCCGTGGACCAAAACAGGTGATGGTCATTGAGAGGGGGCGAGTTAGTTGGTTGGCTAACTCTATAAAATACCTCAAAACACTACGACATGGCCATCGGCGGGTAAGAGGCACCTTGCAGGGTAAGTCTCTTTAGACAAAGGCTATTGGAGTCAAACCGGCGGAAGTCAAGGGAAAACCACCGCTGTACTGTCCCAAGAAAATCATGCCTCAAAATAATATATATTCAGATAACGACGTGAATGGGGATTCCAGTGGAATCACCTCGTCCGGTAGGGAGCATCATGTTCTACGGGTGTTACTCGACCGTCATCCAGCTGCTGTAGAAAAAGTAAATGGTAGAAACATCATGAACATTGGTACATGGAATGTCAGAACACTCGTACAAAACGGAAAGTTGGATAACATCAAGATGGAAATGAAAAGAATGAACATCAACATATTAGGAATTAGTGAAATGCGATGGCCAGGAGCAGGGGAAAAGTATTCAGATCAGCACATAATTATCTACTCGGGTGTGAAGGAATATAGTAAGGGAGTTGGTATTATTTTGGATCAAAAGAACTCAAAAACTGTGAAAGGATTTTGGACAATATCAGATAGAGTACTATTAGTAAAACTTCGCGGCAGACCGTTTGATATCAACTTAGTACAGATTTATGCCCCAACAGCAGATAGTTCAGAGGAAGATATTGACGCATTTTATGACGAGTTAGACATGGCTGTTGATCAATGCAAAAATTGTGAAGTAACAATGGTACTTGGAGATTTCAACCTGAAAATAGGAAGTGAAAAAGTGTACGGAATAACGGGTGGCTATGGCCTAGGCGAAAAGAATGTGAGAGATGACAGATTAATAGCATGGGCTGAGTCGCGCAGCATGATAATAGGTAACACCTGGTTTAAACACCATCCTCGAAGATTGTGGACTTGGAAAAGTCCTGGTGATAATGTCCGCAATCAGATTGATTATATTTTGATTTCAAGAAGATTCAGGAGCAGTTTAGTTGGAGCAAAAACTAGACCTGGAGCAGACTGCTTTAGTGACCATGTTCCAGTTGTAGGAAAAATTGAATAAAACTAAAGAACATTAGAAAAACACCACAGAACAACAAGTTAAATTTAGGAATTCTTAGAACAGATAAAGAAATTAAGGACCAGTACAATGTCACTGTACAAAACCGGTATAATGCAATGGAAATTATACAGACTATTGATAAACAATGGGATATGTTGCGTGAGTCAATTCAGCAGACATCTAAAGAGACAATCCCACCAACCCATAGAGTTGCAAAAAAGAAATGTATGTCAACCGAAATTCTGCAGTTGATGGATGAAAGAAGGAAGAAAAAGAATGATGAAGAAGAATACTCTAGAATACAAACAGAAATAGTGTACAAATGCAAAGTGGCTAAAGAAGCCTGGCTGAATCAAATGTGTACAGAGATTGGGGAAAACAACAGGAAAGACTCATATTCCATGTACCAAAAGATAAATATGTTAACAGGAAAGATGACACGTAACAGCACTGGATGTTTGAAATCAAAAGATGGTGACTTATTAATGGGACATAGTAATATAATTAACAGATGGACAGAGTATATAGGGGAATTGTATGATGATAATAGACCAGATGTAGAACTGCAGACCAACAATGATGGTCCACCAATAATGACTACAGAAGTTGAGGATGCAATACATCATATGAAGAAAGGAAAAGCACCCGGGCCAGACAACATCTCACTGGAAGAAATCGAAGCACTGGGAGATTTTGGAATTGAAATAATAACTAAACTTTTAAATGATATTTATAATAGTGGGTATATTCCAAATGACCTTTTAAAATCCAAATTTATAGCTCTACCTAAGAAACCAGGCACTATAAAATGTGAAGACCATCGCACAATAAGTCTTATGAGTCACATGACTAAGATTTTATTGAGAATAATTATGAGAAGAATAAGAAAAATTTAAGAAAATTAAACCAGAAATCAGCGATGAACAATGTGGATTTGTAGAAGGAAAAGGTACAAACAATGCCATATACACCCTAAGGACATTGTCAGAAAGAGCTTTAGAAGTAAGGACTGATTTGTACATATGCTTCATAGACTACAAAAGCATTTGACTGTGTGAAGCATGAAGAAGTAATCAAACTATTAGAAAAAAATAAACATTGATGGGAAAGATCTACGAATAATAAAGAATATGTATTGGCAGCAAACAGCAGCGATGAACAATGTGGATTTGTAGAAGGAAAATGTACAAACAATGCCATATACACCCTAAGGACATTGTCAGAAAGAGCTATAGAAGTAAAGACTGAATTGTACACATGCTTCATAGACTACAAAAGCATTTGACGGTGTGAAGCATGAAGAAGTAATCAAACTATTAGAAAAATTAAACATTGATGGGATAATAAAGAATATGTATTGGCAGCAAACAGCAGCTATAAAAATTAACAACTGTTTAGGTACATTTCAAAGCATAAAGAGGGGCGTACGACAAGGATGTGTACTGTCACCTGATTTGTTTTCAATACACAGTGAATATATAATGAGAGCTTTAATTGGTATGCCCGGAATTGTGGTTGGTGGGCACAATATAAACAATTTACGTTATGCTGATGACACAGTCTTGATAGCAACAAGTCAGAAAGAACTACAGGAAATGATAGACATTGTGGTGTTAGAAAGTGGAAGAATGGGCCTCAGTTTGAATAATGTGAAGACAGAAGTAATGGTGGTATCAAAGAAACATATAAAAGTTGATGGTGTTATTTTAGGACAAGTACAGAAATTTAAGTATTTGGGCACATGGATAACATCAGATGGAAGATGCATAACTGAGATAAGAAACAAAATAGGACAGGCAAAAACTGCATTTTATAAAATGAAAAACATCTTGTGCAAATATATCCTTGTCATTGAGAGTTAGAAAAAGAATTCTTGCTTGCTACATACATCCAGTTTTAACATATGGCTGTGAATCCTGGACAATCGGTAGGCAGGCCAAACAATTTCTGGAGGCCTCAGAGATGTGGTTTTACATAAGAATGCTTAGAATACCTTGGACAGCCAAAAAGAGCAACCAAGAGGTTTTGAAAGAGGCGGGAGTCCGAAGACAACTTATGACAGACATCAGAAGGAGACTGTCATCATTTTTCATGTTATGAGAAGAGGGAAAATAGAACATGCTGTGACCACTGGAAAGATATGTGAAAGGAGAGATAAAGGAAGACAATGAGAGAAGATGCTTGACAGTCTTGTTGCGTCATGGAGATGTGTCGGCACACGAACTGATACATGCTGCAGGAGATCGCAGATTATGGAGAGGCATAATCGCCCACGCCGGTCGGCAAGGCACCTGATGATGATGATGATGATGATGATGATGAACTCAAAAAGAGTGAGGAGATCAAAAAAAAATGTCTGGACAAATACCGTTATCAACTGCAAAGAGATGAAGAAGTTGGAAATATATTGGGCATACTCTGAGTCGAAAAAAGCAGAGAATACAAAACAAGCACTGAAATGGGAAACAAACGGTCTGATAAAAAAGAGGACGTCATATGAAAAGATTAAGAAAAACATTATCACGAGATCTGGTAATCTGGTAATCTTAGTTTCAGCTTCATAGCAAACGGGTCACCCCATAGTTGCTCCGCCTCTGTGCCAACGAAAAACACACAAAATGTTTATCACAGTT